CGGATCTGTTGGTGTCTTATAGAAAGAAAGGAAAGAAAGCCAAAGAAACATATTGATCCAAGAGCACGAGGTGGCAACTATTGAAAGGACCTGCAGGCTATGAAAGATTGGAGGAAGATCGAATGAGAAAGAGAGCACTTACCATCTAAGAGACAGTTTAGCCCAATTACTCTGTTAATTCTTTTATCTTTCTTTTTTAAACAGGGTCTTTATTCAGTACATTTCTGCTTGAAAAGCACTTTATCTACTGCCTTTAACTTTGGATTTTTCAAAAGCAGGCATCACTGCATCACATGAAATGATTGTTTTAGTAAACTAAAGATAAAACATGTATGTTACGCATGACTTTCTCACAACTTTCTTAGAGCAGGAATAAAAATGCCTACAGTTTATACAACATTTGTCCTTGACGGACTGAGAACGTGTGCTCTAAAAATGATCTGCAACCTCACGACGTCTGAGGCAATCAGTCCCAATCTTCACACTGTGACAGCTCATTACGGCGCTTGGCTACTTGCCCAATAAGGCTGCATTTGTTCTCCTGTCACCACAGGGACATGACACCACACTATCTGAAAGATGAATGACTTTGTGATGATAATGACTATAATAATAAAAGCAATGACACTAACCAAAGGAAAGCCACGGCTTTCAGACGAGATTGAGACAGACTAAGAATTGCTTTAAAACCCAACTTAATGCAATCACAATAAAATTCACCTCATCTTTGACAGGCCAGAGACAAAATACTCTATCTTTTACTTTCATATGACGTGGCTGAGTGAAATCAAGCTTGTCAAACTTTGTGTTAACTGCACAGTTAGTGTGCCAGCACGCTGTCATCACCTTCAGCAGTGATACTTGAACATCTGACCTGAATGTGAAAATCTCATCACCTCAGGAAGAGTCGAAAACATCTAAGTTCTAAAAATAAGAAATGTAATTTAAAATAAAAAAGCTAATTTGTCTGAAAAACTTGGAGTTGCCTCTGTGCAACTATTTCTTTTCCATTTTTGGTCATAATAAATAAAACATTACTTTATTTTAGTCATTAGAAGTCCACAAAGGAGGCTTATCTAGGATATGCTCATTGGCTGCAGACTTGTGACTTAGAACCAATGAGTGCGCAGATTGACCCCTCATCCTCGCATCCAGTTTCAAAACGCCAACGACTGTGAAAATGCTTTTCTCAAGGCTTCAAAATGGGACAAACCAAATGTCACAAGTGATAAAAGCTGTCACTGCTAACATTTAGCATGTAGAAATAGTTTCCAAAGAGCACCCAGTCTTTACGCTACCTGCACTGCAATGTTTCTGCCACAAAAACTGTTGAGCCCAGTAGCTGCGAGAAGAAGTGTGGGGGGCATAACACTGAATACTGCAACATAATCACCTCGTTATGAAGCCGTGTGGCACAAACAGAATAACCGCACAAAGAGAAAAGCTACAACGGCAAGAAAGCACTAAAAGGTTAACTACATTTTCATACAATAATGGATGACTTAGCCTACCATAATTAATTTCCTTTTTTTTAATATGTAATCAACAGGAGCAGCAGACTAATACGATATGTCAGCTTAACAGTAGCTTTAAATTAAAACTTCTGTCTATTAAAATATCCCCTGTGCTTAGGCAAAGGTAATACAATCAATTTATTTTATTATCGCTTTATAGCTATCTACCAAACTAGTGACTAGGGGATCTCCCATCTGTTCATCTTTCCTTAACTGCTAGTTCAATTTATAGTCAAGACTCTGGCTACAACCTAGACGGGTCACCGGTCGATCAGAGGGTCAACACAGAGACACAGACAAATGTTTAGTCTCATATCCACACCTAACAATTAATCGAGCATGTCTTTGAACTGGTTGAGGGCAAACCTAACTCAACATAATAAGTCACCGGTTAACCAGGAGGTTTGGAATCAATAACCTTTTTTCTCTTAACCAGTGAACTAACCCAGTATCAAATACTGCATTTTTCCCCTTCACTACATTAACTGTGAATAACTCAAACTTTCTGATAAAACTGTCCACCAGTAATGAAATGTTTCATACATTTTCCAAATTGTGAAGGTGCACGATATACCTTTCAGCTTATCGTGCATTAAAGCCAGTATCTTACCATTATTAAGCCAGCTAAACTGTCATTATACGTGTCGCTTTATAATTTAATTGCAGGAATTACCCAGAAACAGATTTGCTTATTAATGTCTCCCTCCTGTCTCTCTCACGACTCTCTGCCATTCAGACGATGTCCATGAGTAAAATTGGCAGACTTTAATGTGTATTCAGACTGTATCGAATCAGTTTCCCACCACCCCAGGGCATAATAGGAAACAATAACTGAATTATGACATGAATGATAGCCAATTGCTCACAGTTCAGGCTGGAGACAAACTCGATGACATAACATTGATCTACTGACTCCTTCTATTTCCTTTTCTGTTTTATGCCTGACACTGACCAGTGCAGCATAAAAAACAATTTCTTTTATGAGTTAAAAAAACCCACATTTCTGTCTTTTTTAACCTTGGCGCACATTTTTTGTTAGGCGTTGGTTAACATCTCTCCATGCTCTCTCGCTCTCTCTCTCTCTCTCTACAAATCCTCTCTCTTACAAACTAAGAAGGAGCCATCACGCCACACGGTTTGCACCATGATACATTAAAGCCATTACTTACAAGCACACCGGCAGTGAAGGACAACTGTGTTATGCAGGCTAATACAATGCTCAGCCAAGCACACGCAGAGGCAGGAAAGCCACAGAACTTGGCCTATATATCATACTGCGGGATTTAGCAAGATTTTGGCACACACAGAGAAAGCTATATGCTACGTCTAAATCACGGGAGTCAGTCGAAAAGTGAAAATGTAAAGGTCTGCATTAATTGTCTGCTGATACAATTATTATGTCCATCAATTTATTTTCTTTTGCTTATACAATTTAGGGTCACAATTGTGCTGGTGCTAATCCCAGCTGCTATAGGACAATAGTTGGGGTACATGGTAGACAGGCTGTCAACCTACTGACGGCTAAGAGAGACAGAAAGACATTCACAGATACAGCAAGTTTAGAATCATCAATCAGCCTAATGCACATTTAGTTGTACTAATTCGTTTGTACCCCTCAGGTATAAAAAGCCGATGGGGTATTGTCACCCTGCCTGAGGGGCAGGTGGGCGCGCAGTGTGGACACTGAAATGGGATAACTCGAGAACGAAGTGAGTGAAAGAGTTTCAAATTGACACAACTGTGCATCTACAAAAACATCTCAAATGTGGGAAAATCTCAGTGACCTCAGACTCAGGGACCAGAGGTAAGGTTTTCTGAAAATCTTGTGAGTGCGATAACGCAAGAAGGACGTCACTTGGGATTTTTTTAAATTGATACAATTGGTGCATCTCCTAAAAATCTCAAACAGGGGCGACTGTGGCTCAGGGGTTGGGAAGCGTATCTGTAACCGGAAGGTTGCCGGTTCGATCCCCGGGCTCTTTGCCCTGGTCGTTGTGTCCTTTGGCAAGACACTTTACCCTGCCGCCTACTGGTGTGGGCCAGAGGGGCTGATGGCGTGATATGGCAGCCTCGCTTCTGTCAGTTTGCCCCAGGGCAGCTGTGGCTACAACTGTAGCTTGCCTCCACCAGTGTGTGAGAGTGAATGAATAGTGGCATTGTAAAGCGCTTTGGGTGCCTTGAAAAGCGCTATATAAATCCTATCCATTATTATTATTATAATCCTCACTCAGAGTGACTGAGTTCAAGGTCAGAGGTCAATGTTTCTGAAAATTACCTTTCTAACTAATACAATAGGCACATCTACTAGGAGGCTGAGGGGTAGCACCCGTGGCCACTAGTTTTATTGTTTGAAAGTATTTTGTTTTAGTTCTGTTTTTATTTAGTTTAACAAAAATTATTTTTCTAGGTTTTTAGTTTATTCTTTGTGGGTTCTGTCCTCCAAGGTTAACTAGGAACAAACATAAACAAAACATCCTAACGCTTCACAGAAGGGCCTTAGCTGGTCATTTGCTTTAAACTCAGGACCTTCTTGCTGTGAGGCAACGGTGCTAACCAACACACCACCATGCTACCTCACATTTGTTATGTATGACTTTTCATTTTCAAATAAATAGTCTAATTTGCTCAGCTTTAGTGGTCCTATTTAATAACAGACTATTTTTTGTAAGAGCAGCTACAAGTATTATTAACATTTTTGTTATTAAATTGACTGCAAAAACTGCTGAGACTACCAAGAATATTTAAAGCGAAACAGACTCATTCTTTCAGAACAGATATTGGATCTAAACAATAGCTGAATGAAGCTTTGAAACGTGAATTGATGCATGTTGCTGTTCAAAGAAAAATAATTATATATCTGACTTGTTCGGTCTCAATAATAGTTTAAGGATCGATAGTGTTGGTCACACCCAAATGTGCTTGTACCCCATGATTGCAGTCATTACCCTTGTCCCCATATTCCAGGTGCTAGTTTAAGAGTTCAAAAGGTCAGTTCCTAAGACAGCATAAATTGTGCATGGGATGAGAACAGTGTTCCCAGTCTAACATACTGTCGAGAGTTATCTCACAGGCAGCACAAACCCTCTGACACCAACCTTTATTAAGAGCATGCTCAACAAAAGGAAGCAAGCTCAGCGCTTCCTTTCTCTCCTGAACTCACTATCATTTTGCTGAACTCGTCCTTTCACCAGGAATTTACTTTTTTGTCAGCTTTTCAACATCTGTTCACTGCTCAAGGTTATTATTTGACTCCTGTTAGAAAATCGTTATGATCAAACAGAAAAATCATTCTTCCTGGTAATGCCATAAAAGAGACACAGAGGCCTTGCAAACCTTTTGACTTTATATTAACCCCTTAGCAGTCCTATTAGTCCCCTAAACCATCCAATGTCCCGTGGGCGGTACGTCCGACTGCTAACAGTTTAAGTTCCGTAATCGTTCGAGACACTTTAAATAAGGGACAGGGAAGAGGCTGGTCCAACTTACTGTGTTGGCAGTGAACTCCACTGAAACCTGGTAGACACTTGCACACATAACCAATGAAGGTATCACCCCTGTAGGTCTCACTGATCTCACACGTTCCTCTGTTGTGGCAAGGGTTTGGGTGGCAAGGACCTGCACAGAAAAAAGAAGAATACAGACACCGATGATGGGGGTGGCTTTTTAAAAAAATTTTTTAACTGTACACACAAGAGCAAATTGCAGCAGATAATATTCCACAGTAATTTTGGTATATGATACAAAAGTGTACTTAGACATCATTATCCAGCCAGTAGTCTAATAAACTAAACAATGGGTGTCCCATTAAACACATCTACAGTTTTTAATAGCACACAATAACACACAAAGTTTTAATACATAAGGTATTCTGGGAGACATCGTGATGTGGTGTTTAAGTAAAACTGCTTGACAGGAGAAACTGAGGATGAAAGGAGTGTCGGGAGAGTCTGTCTTTCAGTGACTGCTGCTGGTGTCTGTTGTCTAGAGGGCGGCCCAAGGCACCGTCTAGAAATCACTGAATGTGTCCCCTCCAGGAAGGCAACACTTCATTCTCACAGTGCTAAGCGAAAAGCACAGACTAGCTGCAAGGTAAAATGGCGCACCACCATCTATGCACTGAAATGTACCCACGGCGTCACCCACACATACGTACACACACAGATCCTCACACAAATAAGTCGAGTTTTGACTAAGCAGTTACTTAAATTTGAAACAAGATTATTATTATTTTGAATTAATGAAAAGTGGCCATTGTTGTGAACAATTCACCAGTTTTAAGAGTTTCTGTTCATGCGTCCCCCAAAATGGAGAATCGTTATTAATACTGTACTGAATTTGTACTCCACAGAGCAAAATAATAGTCTCTGAAGAAGTGATTGCTCAAGTGATTGCCACTGTGAAAGTACTGCTGCTGTCCTGAATACTAGGGGCAGGCTAGCCAACCTCTGAGGGTTTGAACAATATAAGGTGTAGTCTAAAGTTGTGAATGTGCTGCAGAATGGCCAGCACAAACGCACTGTCTTTAATAGTTATAAATATATTGGTGCAAAAAACATTTTAAAAAGGTCACATGATGTTCATATTTTGCTCCAATGTACATTAAATTGTTAACTCCAATGACTGCAATGGCTTTTTTATTGAGATACTTGTTGCCCTTTGGTGTTCCAAAGTACTTTTGTGACACAAAAGCATTACCAAAAGACAGAAACATTGTTTGAATTTCAGAAAATTGTAGCAAATTTACTCTACTAATAAACTGAGGCAATCCTTTAAGTCACTTCATTTGTATTGGAACGTACTGTTTTCTGCATAGTTTGCTTCAGTGGATGTTTTTATTGCTTTCAGTGCTGTGCAAATGACCTCCACCAATAAAATCTGTCCATTTGGTTGAAGTTACCCCATGTTGTGCACAGATAACCACAGTTCAGCATTCCTACAGAAAATCAAACGCTTATGCTGTACCCTGTGTGAGGGTCAGTGCTGCTCAGAACACAAAAGGCTCCTATGAGCCAAACACTAATTTGCAAGGGAATTCATATTCATAGCCACAAATCACATGTATTCATGCTGTGTAAACAAAACCCCATTCATCATTACCATTGTTTTCTCATCAATATTTGGGTGCACAGAACACTGGGAAGCTTCGCCACTACAGAATTCATGCTTTGGGATTTAAGCAAACAATAGAAAGAATTTCAATAAAACAAGCAAAAAAAGAAAAAAGAAAAAAAAGAAAACGCCTCAGAGTTACGTCGGTAATGATTAATAACTCTGTTGGAGCATGATTCTTTCCATGTTTGTTGCTGTTTTTTCTTTCTTCTTTTTGTTTTTGTTCTCGTTATGGTATCTCTTTGCAACCCATAATGATAACTAAGGCTATGAATAAAAATTATTATAACAAAACCTGCTGTGTATGATACAGCAATGAATTAATTAACTGCCAATGCCCACAAAACTGTGACATTCAAAATCTTTCATGAACTAGCCTGCAGAATGAGGCAAAATGTTAATGATGACGCCTAGATGCAAGCTTGTAGGTTTCATAACTCAAAAACCTGCCAATATCTGTCTAATCTTTTATACATTGAGCTGTACAACTGCACTGAGTCTGTCAAAACTTTGCAGATTGATGGGGCGTGTTCGTTGCTCACCTAGTGATGTGTGCGCACCGTGCACTTAGGCTGAATTCTTACTGTGGTCGCCCAGGCTTGCATCCACCCCAGACTCCTTGCTGCATGTCAACCCTTGTCACCCACGCCTACACCCAGGCATCTGGGTGCTAGCTAGGTACATGTCAATTGATCATTTATTGTAAAATGTAATGTTTAGATTAAATCTTATTATAAACCACAAAATCATTGTTTGCCTGTCCGCAAACTCCTCCTACAGGATCACAAGTACAGCAACCAAATACGGGAGACATCTTTAGCCAATGAAGGTTCTTATTCTATATCATGACGTTGTCATGTTGCCAAGCAACCAGCTATCAAAGGGCTTAAAGGACCCATGTTTAGCATTTACGCAACTAAAGCAGCTTATAAAAGCATGATTTTGATTTAATTTATATCCAGAAAAATTCAAATGTAGTATATTATAATATGACCATGTTACCTGTGAACCAGTTAATTGATATTTATATAATAGAGTAGCAACTGAGCTTTGTAAGGGACCCATAAAAATGGGCTAATTTTAGTACAGTATTTATTTTTTTGAATCTATTTATCTTTCATGCTTTTTAATCTATAAACAAGAGCTACCACATTGCCAACAGCATGAACTGACTGCACAATCTGCATTTAGTAATGATATCTAACATGACTCTAAAGTTTCAAAAAGCATGCTGAGAAAAGAACTAGCAAATCCGAATTCTTTTCATCAGCATGCCCTTGTAAGTTTCCTATCTTGTGATGCAATTTCTATTCCAGTCATTTTACAGTCATATCTTAGAGTTGACAGGGAAACTGTGCTTTGACAGGTCTCTTATTTCATTTTAAGCGATGGGAAACAAGAAGAAGTCTCAAGGGTGAGAATCTCATGCCCTCTTAAGTCAGTTTGACAAATTAGCAGCCATGAGCACAACATTTGACAACGTCAAGTAAAAAGCTGCAGCCTTAAATTGTTTACTATATCAACAGGGCAACCATTTCACACTAGCCCCAACCCATAAAAAGAATAGGAAAAAAAATGAAGTAAATAAACAAATAAATACAAAATCACTACCGACCCTATTATTGTTCTCTCACTGGAATTAGTAGGCCTCTAGGTGTGAATTTCAAATGAGGTAATCCTATCGAAGTCATGCTATTTCAAAGCCTGGACCTGTATTAGTAATAATCAGTGTGGTGGATAATCAGTTGAACAGAGGCTTGTATAATAGCTTTCACAGAGGACCTGCTCACTGTGAGAAAGGGGGTTGACAGGTTTCAGGGCTCTTTTGATGTAATGATCTGTAGTCGCACCATGCTGTACTGACAGCATCCCTAATGGCAAGTGCATAAAACAGAAAAAGTGGGGACAAAAGGAGGTAGTGAGAGAGAAAAGAGGGAGGGAATGGTTTCTCAGTTAGTGTGTTAGAGAGATACAAAGAGTGTTCAGTATGACATCTACATTTGATTTCATAATTTCTGTCAAAAAAAAAGAAAAACAGGAAGAAAAAAAAACGCCCCAGTGTGCCGGAAATTAAGCAATCTTTTGTATGGTATGAGTTCAAAATAAGCCAAAAACTGAGGAACTGCAGAACTGTTATGAGTCAGGATCAAATGCCAGATCACATTAGCACACATACAAAAATCTGACATCCACTATAATATCAAAAACTGTTCATCTGAGAGAGAGCAAATTGTCTCGCCAGTGGAAAACACCACATGAAAATTGCAACAGCTACTTTCGTGCCCTCGGTGGGCTGAGACTGACACAATTTTTCAGAAACTTACAAAAAACATGAACCAAAACAAAACCGCGTTCTGTTTCTAATTTCTTGGGAAAATAATAGTTACAAAAACATTTTTTTAAAAAAGAAATAAGTTTGTTTATAGTCTCCAAACTTTTCAACTAAGAGGATGAAGATTTTCATTAAGAAAGAAGTGTTTTTTTAATGCTATAAACAAAAAAAGAAAGAAATCCCTTATTCACTCCAACAGCTGCCCATTTCTAGAAAGGATTAAGTACTGGGAGCCATGATGGAAGCAACAGAGAGGAAAAACCAAACACTACTTAGAGAAAAGAAGCAACTTTCCAAGGAAAGGCGAGGGAGTAAACATGGTGTGCCATTAAATTGTGTTTTCTTCACACAACCACACACCATGTACAATGTAAGTTGTGTGTTGCTGATTGCTGGAAAGTATTAGCTGCTAATGCTTCTACTACAGTGGCTTGCAAAAGTATCCGGCCCCCTTAAACTTTTCCACATTTTGTCACATTACAGCCACAAACATGAATCAATTTTATTGGAGTTCCACGTGAAAGACCAACACAAAGTGGTGCACACGTGAGAAGTGGAATGAAAATCATACATGATTCCAAACATTTTTTACAAATAAATAACTGAAAAGTGGGGTGTGCGTAATTATTCAGTCCCTTGAGTCAATACTTTGTAGAACCACCTTTTGCTGCAATTACAGCTGCCAGTCTTTTAGGGTCTGTCTCTACCAGCTTTGCACATCTAGGGACTGAAATCCTTGCCCATTCTTCTTTGCAAAACAGCTCCAGCTCAGTCACATTAACTGCGTTTGTGAACAGCAGTTTTCAGATCTTGCCACAGATTCTCGATTGGATTTAGATCTGGACTTTGACTGGGCCATTCTAACACATGGATATGTTTTGTTTTAAACCATCCCATTGTTGCCCTGGCTTTATGTTTAGGGTTGTTGTCCTGCTGGAAGGTGAACCTCCGCCCCAGTCTCAAGTATTTTGCAGACTCAAAGAGGTTTTCTTCCAAGATCGCCCTGTATTTGGCTCAATCCATCTTCCCATCAACTCTGACCAGCTTCCCTGTCACTGCTGAAGAGAAGCACCCCCAGAGCCTGATGCTGCCACCACCATATTTGACAGTGGGGATGGTGTGTTCAGAGTGATGTGCAGTGTTTTCCGCCACACATAGCGTTTTGCATTTTGGT